AGGGGGGGGAGTCGGGCCACCTGAGGGTGGCTCGGCTCATGCCGAGCCACCCTGAGGTGGCTGCTCGGCCCCCGAGCCACCCTAGGGTGGCTCGGCTTGGGCCGAGCCACCTTAGGGTGGTTCGGTTCGGGCCGAGTTCCCCCAGGTGCGCTGGTTTTGTCGTTTTCCGTTGTTTCCGGTTGTTTTGTCCGTTGTTCGGTTGTTTTGTTGATTTGTTGACTTGATTCCGGATTTGGCAGTAAACTCAGTCGGTGTTTGAGTTCAAATCCACTTTGTTGGAAGACCCGTCGACTCCCCGAACCACTAACGTTGTTCACATGCAGTTCGTTAGCTTTGTAGCCTCTTTAGTTCGTTTCGTTGCTTGAACGTTCGTCGATTTGTCGAATCATCGCGCCGAGCTGTGTCAAGGGACCTATAAGCAGTTTTATACGCCTACAGATACCCCCTCCAAAGCTTTTCAGCCTCGTTCTTTTATAGAAGAGTCTGGAATGCTTTGGATATGATTGCCCCTACCCTTTGTCGGTGTAACGGGACCTGGAAATGACTTTTGTTCTGTATTCCTTCAATCCTTCGGGCCATTCAGTGCTTTGTAGAATGCCTGTAGGGGTTCCGGTGCTGCATTTATTGTCTGACCGTTGTTGGAATTTGAACTTTGAAGTCGATTCCTGATTTTTTCAATCTTTAACTCGTGTTGGTTGGTTCGACGTGCAACTAACGCTCGATTGTCGGTGTTGAATCCTCACTTGTGACACGTTGTCCGACGTCGTGTTATTGAGTTATCCTTAAGAATATTTTTAGAAAAATATTCTCCAGGAACTTCTCAACAACAATAGGAAATAGTTTATACTCGTATACCTTATTGGAGTATTTCCGTGCTCAAATGATCAGAACCGGTCCAAAGATGTCTCAAAAAAGGCAGTATTTGGGCTCAAAATCTTTCTGACCCTTCCCAATATGTGGGAGAGGGGTTAACTAGGTGAGGGATCGAACCATTGATTGATCTGAATTCGTTTCGATGCTTAATTTAGCTCCAATTTGAATTCTGGTTCGAATTTGGTTCAAACTGGTTCGAAATTGACCCAAACTGGTCCAATCTAACTCAATCTGGTTCAATCTGGCCTATTCTGGCTCACTCTGGTCTGGTCTAGTCCAGCCAGGTTCAATCTGGTTCAATTGGGCTCATTCTGGCTCAATTTGGCTCATTCTGGCTCAGTCTGGTCCAATTTGGCTTGGTCTGGTTCAGTCTGGTCTGGTCTGGTTCAGCCAGATCTGGTTTAAGGCTATAAAAGAGGGTTTTTTGGCTTCTTTTTTCTTCTCTTCCTCCTCTCTTCTAGGGCCGGCCCCCCCCTCTTCCTCCTTTTTGAGTTTTCTCTTCCCTCGAGCGTCTTTTCTCCTCGAAACTTTGATATTTATCCGAGATCTGGGTTTCCTTTTGATCTTTGACTGAGAGATCCTTCAAAAAATCATTTTTTAGAATTCCTCTCAGACCCCTCGAGCACGTGGTGAAAGTTTCCTAAAAGGTCTCATCTTCGTTGGATCTCGAGCCTTTCTTCAGGTAAATCTTCCACAATTTGGATCTTTTTCATGCTCAATTTAATTCATGCATTTGTGGGGTTATATGTGAGGGTTGAGGGTGTGATTTGATGCCTCGAGCTAATCTTTCAGGGGGGTAAAAATGCAATTTTGAGGGGTTTTTATGCAAAAATTAGGGCTGAAATTATTTTTTGAATCTAACCCTTTGAGTTATTTTGCAGGCCGTCATGTCTCGCGCCTCGAGAGGTCGTTCCCCTGCCATGTCGGTTGATGGCGCGCCTCCCTCTTATGCTGGTGAGCTACTTTTTGCAAATAAACCCTTTTTTCTTATAAATTTGTAAATTGACCCTTTTTTAAACCCCACGTTGTTCTCCTTGGCGAGGCAATCGGGAAGAGCCTTGATTCTCCTTGGTGAGGATCGACGCTTCAAAGATATGTTTTGCTTGGTCAAAACCATATCTCAAAATTAAAGGGGGCGATTTGACACTACATTGCGTTTTATAAGGCAGGGATATGTTGTCGACATACCCTGTTTTGTGATTGCACAATGTGGCCAAATCGTCTCACCCTTTATAAGGCAATGACTCTATCTTAGCTATTTGTAAGATGAGTTCAATTTCCTTTTATAATCGAGACTAACCAGTGTTTAACTGTCTATTTTGCAGTGGGGTACCCTTCTGGATCATTCCCGTCCCACGCAATATATGGACGGCGTGGCGAGCATTATTCGAACTCCAACGATCCTTCCCCTATTCCAGCTACCCCTCAGTTTGCTTCGGACACGTCGACTGAGGTTGCCCAAGTGGTGAGGGAAGGTGGTCATCGAGCTATTCGCCAGCTAATCACAGATGCGCCTTTTGTGAAGGACGCCAGCTCTACTCAGCCTCTTCGAAAGAGCGATTTCCTATTTGGTGATTCTGTCGATGACCCAGAAGCCGTATTCATTGGTGCTGAGCATTGGCTTCACAAGACCGGCAATGGCTTCATATACTTGCCGGAGATTCCTCGGCATCGTTCATTGACTGAGCTCAGATGTCAGGCTGTGACACGGGAGATGTCGTGGCGCTTGACAGAGGATCATATGAGTGTCCATTGCGGCTATATCACTCATTCGGCGGTTCCTGGTTCGTGCAGAAGTCGTGTTACCGGATTGCGTCCTGGTGTATTGGGGCTGGACGAACCACCACGTAACGAGTTCCTTGCTACCGCTTCCACCTTGAGGAATCGTCTCGCTGTTCTGGGACGGGAGATGCCAGCGACACGTCACAGGTTTTACGGTTGGGTCCACTCTTCGGACAAGTCTTGGTGGAGCCGCATGACGACATACGTCTTGAGCCGATGGGGCGAGGAGTTGCATGCTTGCGGTTTGTATGCAGCCGTTCGTGCCACCGTGTATGGCTTGCCTATCAGTTTGAGACATTTCTGTGCTTTGTTCGAGCTATATAATCCAGACTCGAACACTTTTCTGACCCGGCAGGGGGAGTTAGGCTTGGCTCTTCACGAGATGCACAGGATTTCTGGCTTGTCCATGGGACAGATGCTATACCAGGAGTACTTTCCTTCCAGTCATGAGTTGAGCCAATTAAAAGATCGCATGCCTGACCGTTATGAGACTCTATGGGACCTCACTTGTCATTACCATATTGCTTTGGCACAGTCGGAGCCCTTAGCAAAGAGGACCAAGGTATGTGTGAGTCTGAAACAATTTGCGAACTACTTGTTCAAGAATCTGGAGAGCACTCATGGCGAGGATATTTGTGAGCTGGCCCCATTCACTCCTTCAGAGGTGAACAGTCTACTGAAGAAGATCGGCGCTCAATCTTACACCACCGGCGGTCCTGAGGGTGGCTTTCCTGCGAAGACCAAGTTCAAGTCATTCTTGTGGCACGCTACCGCACCAATTCGACCAATGACACTTCTTGCTGGCTTTCTTGCTATCTGGTTGAAAAAGTGCGTGGTTCCATATCAGTCTGGCGACGCCTTGCCCTTGGAGGTACTTTACCCAGCAGTTCAGCTCGCCTATAAGAAGGAACTCTCACTTCTTCCGGTGATGGTGGCTAATATTCACCGAGGACTTCGACAGCTTTCCAGTGCGTTCACACGGAAGGAGACCGATTTACCAGGTCAGATTCCCACGCTTAAGGTGGAGCTCCCGTACGCTTATCTGATGGCCTGGTTTGTCCTTCATCGCTCGGATATGATGTCGGTGCCGAACGCCACAGACCATTCTGTTCCCCTGCTACAGTTGCTTGAGAATGGCAGGTGGGAGGGCCGCGGATTTTCTGATGTCAGACAGCAGTTGCAGGTCCATAAGTGTTGGGCATTCTCTACTTGTTTTCCGCAGTTCTCCGGTCGATATGGTGAATGCTTGATAGATGATGAGAGGCCTAGAGAGTACCGGACTTATTTAGACATCGGCTGCTTCAACTGGCTAGTGAATATTAGGCCCGGCTATCTGACTTTCCGGGTGAGGGATCAGTGCTTCATCGAACCATATCTACCGTGCCGATTCGCTCGCCAGTTTGGCTATGACCAGCTTTACATTGGGAATCCTCGTCAGCAGCTTCGTACTCATAGTGGTTTGATAGACGGTCTCCGCGCTTGGTTGTGGACCGTGACTGGCTGTACTGGTGTTAGATTTAGTCTCCCGAGTGCTGACCGGCAGTTGAACCTTACTTTCTTGAGCTGCAAATGGTTGTTAGCAGCCAACAAGACTATCCCTGTGAAGCCAATCGCAGAGTTAGAGGCTGAGGCAGCTTCCCAGGTTGATTCCCGCAGGATTCGGGAAAACGCCCGGGCACAGAGGATACGGAACAAGACTCGTCGGATTGACGAAGAGGGACAGAGGACATTCCATTCCACAGACGAGGCTTCGGGCGGGGATCCCGAAGATTACGATGACTTTTCCGAGCGAGGTTTGCACTTCATCTTTTTCTTCTATCTTCCAGAAGTGTTGAAACTGACTATGGTTTGATGTTCCAGATACCACAGTTGATCAGGATGAAGATTTCCGTCCTCCTCCTCAGGCGAGACCTTCGATCCCTATTGCTAGGCGGAAGAGATTGGCCCGCAAACCTCGTGTAGCTTCACGAGCATCTGACATGGATCTGGCTGGAGATGACCCTATTAGTGACAGAGGTAACGTCTACTCTTTGAACCATTTTCTTGGTTATTCTGAACATTGACTCATGCTTTTCCATTTCTATATAGGAGTGCGTGGGGAGGATGAGATGAGTCCCGATCCTGTTCCCTTATCTCCCGATGAGTCTGACCCACTACCCCCTGTAGAGAAGTCTACAGGGGTTGCTGACATTAGGGAGGAGATCAGTGTAGGACCAGATTCTGTGAGTCAAGGTACATCTATCACTGACAGCGTATTTCTTTAGATAATACATTAATGAATTTGTGTATCCTCTAACTGTCCTCTACTCCTTGCTCCTTCAGATAATTTGCAGGAGGCGAACCTTGGAAACGAAGAGGCTGATGCACCCGTGAGAGGTAACTCATTTCCATTAGTTGTAGTCTCTTCATTATTCTTTGGCACTTATATTCTTTTATGTCAGATTTCTCCATCGACGATTTTGACGAGGGAAGCCTGTTTGCGGACACTCCTATGATGCACTACATATATAGCTCACCTCAGATTGATGACCAGCTACCTGGAGACATGTTTCCTGAGTCCGCATTTGCTAACAATCCTGAGGATGGTTCCTTTGAAGGTATGTGCCTCCTGCTGAGTTGATTATAGGACTAGTCGACCTTGACTAATGCAGCTATAATGTAACGCCTCTGCGAATTCTGTTTTGAATTTGACAGGAGCTTTTGTTGAGAAAGACCATGTTGAGCCGGCTGTGCGACCAACTCCACCAGTCGATGCAGCTACAGTTGTTACATCTCCATCACCCCCAGTGACTCGAGGGGAAGGAGGTATAATTTAATTAGCTGAGCGATGCCGTTCATTTCCTCATTGAGGCTTTTGACGAACTTCTCTTCTTTGTGTAGGGCTTCCTTCTCAGCTTCATATCCTCGTTAAGGAGTTGTTATCAGGGGATGACCCTGAGAAGATCATCATCAGCGTAGAAGTCCGCTCTTATTTCTCCTCCCTGACTGTTATAATTGGCAAACTCCTCCACGACGGACTTTCTCTTCGCCAATTTAAGCCCTACCTCGATTCCAAGATAAACTTGATTAGGGACATAGGATGTCCGGATCTAGCGACGGCTATGGTTGATGACCTTGATCGCTTAGAGCGTGAGCTTCAGATGTTTCATGAGCTCCGGGATACAGGTGCCTCTTCATTCGTTGCTGCCGAGTTGGATGCTCGCTTACAGACATGGCGCAGTACTCGGATGGTTGCTGAGCTCGAGATTCAGGTGCAGCGGGACCGCATAGATCGAGTTGAGGCTGATTTCGCCACTAGATCTTCTTTCCTCGAGGAGCTTGATTCTCAGATAGATCAGCTCCGACGAGAACTCCGTGAGAAGGAAGACACAAAGATGCAGAATCAGCAAGCAAATGCTGCTTTATCTGATGAGCTGAAGTCCTTGAAGCAGAGACTGGCTGAGACAGAGGAGGATGCTGTGAGGACTTTAGCTGCGAACGAAGAGTCTGTTAG